GACAAAGGTACAAATTAATACTACCGGCAACAACCGCAACAACGTAACCTCTGTAGCGGCCAGCGGCCAGCTGTGAATGTTTTGGCGCGGGCGATGGTGATGCCAATGGCGTATCGAAACGTGGATGAGGCGTCCGCACTAAAAAGGATGAAAAGTAGTGAAATTGAGCTTCATTGCAATTGCTGTAATAAAAATGCGTGCTTACTATTACTAAAATTAAATATTACGGCATGTAGCCATCATTTAACGCGCGATTTCTATTTTAAATTTGCTTATGTTTGTTAAGCGCGTCTGGCTAAGTTGGACAGACGCTTCGGAAACGCAGGCGCGAAGCGCTGCCCGGCAGCGCGGCGTGTGGTTTGACTGGGCGCACGCGTCTGGCTTAGCGCGCGCGCCAAGCCGAGACGCGCGTCTAGACGCACTGAAAAACGCGCCATGTGGGCTAGCCTTAAAACAGAACAGCATATCAGGTCGATAGGAACGAGCACTGCGTTGCGGCGAGCGACTGCGTCCGACACACGCTGTAGTCCGCCCACATCGGGAACACAACCGGCTTGCGGGAACACGTGTTTTTCAAGAACCATAGCCCCGCACAAGAAACGACACTGAAATGACGATTCGGGGAAGGGACGAGGCAACGGACCCGGAAAGCAAGGTCAACTATGCATTCGGGAAGAGTACACTTGGAAGAAAGGGTAGTACAGACATTCCATTCGGGTTGCGGGGCAAAGTGGGGAAGGAGGTCATATCCGCGGGCTTGAACGAACGAATGATTCCCCACACCCGACGGTTCACCGCTGCTTCTTTTTAGTTTGCGCTGCGCCGCATCTCCTGCTACATGTCAAAACTCGCACCCCCCCCCCCCCCCCCCCAAAAAAAAAACTTTTTTTTTTTTTTTTTTTTTTTTTTATGCGGCCGACTTAGTCTATTATCGTGCGATTCCTTTTGTGTCGCGAAACGCGCGCGGCTGTAGTACATGACCAAGCCAACCCGGCGTCAACAACCTGGATCTCAAACTCGTCGCAAACGTACTGGACGTACTTATAAAAGGAGCAAACATGAACATAAGCACTCGATAATAAATTAAAATACTATTTAGATAGAGACATGAATAGAAGATTACTAACAATTGCTTTACGAACCTCTATTTTAGCTTTAGTGTCCGAAAGAGTTTCGTTGCGTTAGCTCTCGCAACGCTCTATTCTGCACCGGGCTGCAAACGTTCTACTAAAACATGAAAACGCAGCTCCGCTACGGTATATATAGCGGAAGCCATAACGGATTGTGTATGAAGTTGCGGGAGTGATTAACGGTCTACTAAAACTCTCAACATGGGCTTTTTAACTTTCTGACTCGGGCAATGTGATGTTTTCAAGCGGTTGTATTATATCACCAAAGACAGTCTTATTTTAGTTGTCTGCTGAGGATACCAAAGTCATGGTTCGTGGGTCTTTATCACTCCCGGCACTTATTTTTTATAGAAAAAACGCTCCAGATTAGTATATTAAAACAATTCTAAATTTCTGTAACACCGGTGACAAAGCATGACCCCAGATATATTCTCTGCTGTTGCAACGAGTCGTATTAAAATCAGTAATTGTTTGTTTGCAAATCCGTTGAACTTGTGCAACAATTAAAATGATTAATTACCCTACCAAAACTGAAAATAATTACACCGGCACTGAACACTGCAATCGAGCAATAGCTTGATTGCAAAGCTTAGCACAGTGTACTGCATTTCAGCACTGCATTGTCAAGATGATTCATCGAACTCATTCACAAGATAATTATTACATTTTATTTAATTAGCCTAATGATCTACATTTGCTTTGCTCAGTGTGTTGAATTAAGAGATGGGGTCTATTCCACAAGACAATTCAAATAATGTTTTAAGTAAGAGTAATATTTACTGCGCCTTTCCGTGTTTATGCGCCAAATAATGGCAGTCACCGAAAAGGTCGGATTCAAAAATAAAACTGCCATATATAGAGCTAGTTCGAACTTAGCGTACGTAGAGAGGTGAGGGGGCCCGGTGTCGCCGCCCAGCCGCGGGCGGAAGCAGGAATTTCTTTACATCCTACATGGCATAGCATGACGTTTCTAGATGTCGTTAAGCCACAGCATAGTCTCAGCCTTGAAATAGTAACTTTAATTGATTTACACGCAATTTGGAGTTCTCGCACGGTTCACACTCTGGTAAGAGAAGGTGGTCGACCCGCGTGGAGGTATTTGATTCAAGGAGTTAACTATGTTACCTTTTTAGTTAAGGAGATAGAGTTCCCGGAAAGCGACTTTTGGGAAACTCTTAAATCTCGATTAAAAATAACGAGATGACCACATAACAAGTCACTGAAAACAAGTGCTGTGTTACTATTGTCTGTTGTTATTATTCTTTGGCCCACTGTTGAATTGTACTGACCATGCAAGTCTATGTTACTGTGTATGTATTCGGAACTGTTACACCTCATGGGGCAGTCGCGAGCCGCCGACTCACCCATTTTCTTTTACTATGTAAATAAATCAATCTTATACAATAAGAAAAAGGGGGGCCCGGTGTCGCTGCGTTGTTGCTATTGTGTACGTTATTGATCTGCATGTGCTCCGTGTGTTCAGTGATGCATGTGTATTTCTACCATATAGCGTTCGAAAGTCGGCAGAACCTAAAGAAAGAAAAAAACAACGCCTCTCCGACATTTTTTTTTTTTTTTTGCCGTTTTGAGCGCTATCTGTTGGAAGCTATATCAATTACACGAGGAGAGAATGTTTCCTCCGTTGAGAGAAAAAAAGGTGGCAATTGTCCTCCCTTCTTAGGGGACGAACTTTTTCTCCGCGAGCAAAAATAGGTAGAGACTTTCCTCCCTTTTAAGGGCAGCGAATTTTCTCTCCGTTTTGTAGGAGGAAATATTCTCCCTTTATAGAGCAATATAAGGAACACGCGAGTACCTCTTTTAAGGGAGGAAGTACTACTCCCTTTTTTTTTAGAGTGTGGAAATTAGGGTTGCGGCGTCCATTCCCCGACGTTGTCTTTAGAAAGTATGCTCTAAGGCACAAACTCAATTAGTCAACATTCCTGCTGGCGCTGTGAGACGCTACAAGGCGTGCTAGCTGCAGCGAATACGTGAGCTAGGTGATGCTGCGTGGATTTACTATATCATAGCCTCCTCTATCCTCACAAAGCCTGTCAGTTCGACGACGGAGCCATAGACTGCCCGGTCGCAGATTTGGAGAGCGAAGATGTGGCAGCATAGAGCATTTCTCGGGGAACCTCGACGTCAGTGCACAGCTTTTGCAGCGGCGAGGACCCGAAGCATCATTTTCAAACCCGACGGGAAAATAAGCGGTAGCGCGAGGAACGCGAGGAGCACGAGCGTGCATCACATCGCACGGGAGAAGTGTGTTTCAGCGTCGCGCCGCCACGGGGCGCCTGTCACGTGGCTCTCCTCTCATCCGTTGTCTGCCGCTCCACCTTTTCCATTTCGGCGGCCGCTTCTCGTGGCGATCTGCTAGACTTTGTCAGTATGAAGAAAACTATGACTATGTTCACTGACAGAATGAGAACGTCAAGGTGTGTCTTTCCAACGCCCAGCCTCCAGCACGCGCTCCATACTTCTCGCCGCGCTTCGGCTGCGCGCGCGCGCTCGAAGTGCACGCGGCGGGATAGCGTTGTCGAATCTAAGAAGCTTTCGCTATACTCGGGGCAACTTAAGCTGCTCTGTGCTTTTCTCACATTGTCGGTGTGACTATAGTAGCTTTGTTCGATTTACCTACAACTCCTGCACTGGTGCAGGGATGTGTAGGTGGTGTACTTCCTGCCGTATCTCAATACACTTACAGGAAGTACTTTGCCCTACACTTTTCTGTACCGGTGCGGGAAGTGCAGGTGCACCGAACGAAGCTACTTATGTCGTTTGTAGGAGCCGGTGAGCGCTGTTCCGGCGCCTATATGACCATCCAAGCAGACGAGCTTGCACGGCGTATGCAGTGCAGGGTTTGTGGTGACGTCAGCAAGCCGAGCTCTGATTGACTTTGATGGAAGAATAACGGCTAGACGTCAAGGCATCTTGCGTTGAAATCTACCCATTCATATTTTATCTGTGTCAATCAGAGCTCAGCGTTTTGACGTCACCACAGTGACTTCATAAGAAGCAGACGAGCTTGCGCTCCGCATAGGTAAGCCTCGGAAGTCCGTAGGTGGTTACGAAGAACGCAAATTTCAGTTACGTCGCGCTGGGGAGGCTCGTCGTAGACAAAGTACGGATGAGGCACGAGAGCGGAATTGACAGCGGAGGCGAAAATGGCGTGAAAGTCCTCAGAATCGCTCCCAGGAGGTGGTTCAGAAGCGACAACCGTGCTGCAATAATACCGAATTACGCGAGGGCCAAGCCACTGTAGCTGTGGCACACGTTAGGCGGTAGCGTAAATGCACTCGGATTTGTTTTGCATTGATAGCAGCGGGCCGCGAGCCGGGCGCTACTGAAAAGACCATGGCACTCCGCGGGCCACAGTGTTTTAGTTATATTGTATTCGGCAACCCTCACTCTATATGAACAGCTTGATAAAGCAGATGATACCAGACGCTTCCCGGAGCTCTTTCAAAAATATTGTTTCTGTTTCGGTTGTACAGGCACCCCAAGTTAGGTTATGACTAGAATTCAACATTTTCTGTATAAACAGATATACACCGAAAATTAACTCCGGAGCTGGTTTTCACAATATCGTGGAGCTGACCTTGAACGTTATGACTATGACGTTTCAGATAACTATGACCATTCATAATTTATAAAAAAAAAGCACACCCCCAAATACAAGGAAATAATGAACCTCGGAGCCACGGAACCCTAGTTACAAACCTAGAATGAATCCGCGTGTTCCGAAATGCCAGAACACGCTCTGGATATAACCTTTCCTAACCCGCTCTACAAGTAGTATTTTCTACTTCCCGCGGAACAGTAACACCAAGGAGTCTGATCTAATGTTCTTCCATTACTGTCTCTTTACAGGTGAACTTCTTTCTCTTTCTTAACATCACGCGGGTTCTGTTCGCTAAACTCTTCGCTTCACAGACGCCTCAGGCACGAAAGTACCGCTACAGGTAAGAAACAGTCGGTCCGCAACAATGACCCCTACGTACTGCTCGGCGCCTGACCCGTCCACACTGAGATTGACAGGTCTCTTCTGTTCTGGAATTGTTCAATGTCCCCACCTAACGCATGATAGCTCCTCGTATTATTTCCTACTTTCAAATTTTGCCCTTACGTTGTTGTTGTTTTTTGCTAGCAAAAAACATATAGTGTATCACTTTTGTGTGTCTGCTTCCAAATACGTTTTTATAAGTATTATTTTTGGCACAAAGTTCATGAAGGTGTCTTGGGAAGTTCGCTTTGCATTCAGGTCAGTCAAAATTAACCGAACGTCACAGAGGAAACACCAAAAGTCTAAAGTGTTAAGTAGGGTTTCTCTGAAGAACCTTGTTGTTGCAGGCTCCCTGCTGATGAAGATAAAGGGCGGCTGAATAAGTGATCCTACACTCTAAGAAATAGGGGGTCTAATACCCCCAAGCAAAATAAACCTACACTTTCAATAGAAAACAATTTACTGCAAAACTAAAGTACTTTTTACAAAACTCTAATTCTCAGCCCCCGTGTAGCCCTAGCGACCTGAACCATATGCGGGAGCTTCAGAACTAACCGTTGTCTCAGAACGGAAACGAAAATGGGCCACGCATCGACGGCCCCCGCCGGGGGAGTTTGACGACGGAAGGGATCTAGTAACGCTGGATGCGGCTGGTGCGACTCTCGCGCCCTCTATCAGCTAGAAATTTTCTGCCACTCTCTCGGTCTGTGAAGACCTGCTCAGCGCGATTTCCTACCTACGTTTTTTCCGGTTTTGCATTCGACGTTTTCTCGCCCCTCTTGAAAGTTTCCACTTAATTTTTTTATGCGTGCTGCGTACCCCTACTATCTTCTATTGTGAGAAATAAGGCTGGTAAGTGTCTGCCATTGAAACTTTTCTGCTTTACATTCACGGGAAACGAAGGAGGTGAAGGACGCCGAACGACCCTAGACGCGATTTTTCGAACATTCTTCTCCCCCCTCCCAGAGATAATCCGCATAGAATCCTCAGTCATCTCCAAAAACAGTTGTCCGTATTGGGGTGAGAGACGGGTCAGTCACGTTCGTTCCTTTGCCTTGGTGCGGTTGTTAAAAAGGAAGCTCTCCCCAAAATGTGCCCCAAAACGGAGCCATTTCGGATTCCGTCCGATCGTCAAGATGCAACTGTTGTCGACTGTGACTGGGTTATTTGAGAACCTTCTCAAATAAATTTTTCCGAATAACGGTGCATCGTGTGTGGTACGTACGATATATTGTTCGAATGTTAACACTTCCTCAATTGTATGTCCGTGTCCTGTCTATCGGTAAACACAATATTTGTGAGCGTGAAAAATGCATGCCTCTCGACCCTCTTCTGGTGCAATTTATTTTTGACAGCAAAGCGCTTTGTCGTTTCACATGCGGCGAATCCCGCGGCGCCGTCAAAACGTCTCGTAAGAAAAAAACACAAAATAACTAGAACTATACATTCCAGTCGCATTCGTTCTGTCGCGCAAGTACCCAACAAAAATAGTTTACAGCTTCTTTTTTTTTTTTTTTTTCTTTTTTTCAACTGTGGTACAATGCTTTCTCAATGTCCTCGGGAAAATACATGTACCATGAAACACAAAATATAGCGGGAAAACACGAGAGTTTAGCCGCCAGCAGTTTTTTGAAACTACACCTACGCTGGCTGCACCTATTGAAATCACAGTCCACTCAGTTAGGGTTAGGAGGGACGCCGGTGAGAGTCTAGCCTCAAACTCCGTGTCTGGGCTCGAAAATGGTTTGTTGCCCCTGGGGTCGAGTGTTTTTTGGATAGATGTATATGATGCAAGGGGGGTGAGTACTACTACCCGATTTCTGAGAGTGTGGGACGGCAGTGCGGCATCCATTCAGTTTGGAAATTGAATTTCAGCTGCCTGAAATCTTTAAAAATGTAAATTTCAAAATAAAAAAAAAAGTGTACAAGTTATTCTGCTATCTATTGTAAGTGGCCCACACCTTTCGGTGACAGGTCTTATTGTTGTTTAAAAAGGACGCTTACGATAATTACAGTCATAAAATACCAGGCTGTAATATATAACTTTATAGACGTTTTTATTTTTTCGTAGGTAGTTGTTCGCAAAATTAAAAAAAAAAATGAAAATATAGTGGCTTTTTTTTTTATTATTGGGAGTGGAGCGATTGCATACTTCTCATTCAACTGTGTCCCGACACACTCGTGTTATTTTTGCTGAGGTGACCAGGAATGCTACTGCACGACACCGTTTATATTTATTTTTACAAATAAGGAACGGGACTCTGTTTTTGAAGTCAACCTGACATCGGGCAACCTGAAAATGTTCTAGCCCGAAAGACTCGTTTTCAATTTACCCCAAAGGTCGAAGTTTACGCTTGAGCTTGGAACTCAGAATTGGCGAGTTTATGGGAGGTTTGTTTTGCTCTATTTCTTTTTTTTTATTAAATAGGGCAGCGCAAATACAGGCTGGAGTAAAAACGGCCCTATATTTTATTTTCATGCATCACGAGAAAAAGTGTGAGTGGATTACATTCACTCGACAGCATTATTGTAGTCGTTACGAAAAAACAGTGATAAAATCTGTTATACTCGCCACTTGTAAAATAAAGGAGCGCGTTACCGGCCTACGTTACATCAAAATAAAAGGTACGGGTTACCGCTACCGATAAAAAGTAATGCATGTTACGTCTGCGTTACTTTTAATTTATCTTAGCGACAATAAGAGCGTTTGTCTTTTCTACAGCATTTTTCGACACTGGGACAAAGGGGGTTGGACGTTGGGGATTTCTTGGATGGGACATTTTGCGTGGAGATGAGACACCCAAACCTTTTAAGGTATGCGGAATGAGTCCACGAAACAATTAATTGGCCCCTATACTTGGTTTCAGCTTAAGTCCGAACGCAACCAACGCGACGAGCTAACGGAAGCAATCGAGCAGCGTCAAAAGCGCTAGTCACTGGGGCCTTTTTTTTGTGACTGGTTCAGCGACGATAGAACACGTACATAAACATGAGAGACGCCATGATAGTGCCCTTCTGACGCTGTCATATTGGTCCCATCAGCTCTATAGCGTGGGCTGCTTCTGGACTTAAGGTGAAATGAACTATACAAACAGGAAAAAAATGTAAGTGTACATTTTTGTAGGTTTTGCGAAGAAGATGCAGCGATTTACGTAACTAAGTTACTCGTTACACGAAATAAGTAACGTAAGCACGTTACCCATTTTGAAAACCTAATGAGTACCATTTTACGTTACCGAAAAAAGTAACGGGTAACGCCGTTGCTTATAACGCTTTAGCGCCAACACTGCTTAACAAAAACTCGTCGCTCAAATGGCACACGCGCAAAATACCTTTGGCAAAGCGTACTTCCTTGTTCATCATCTAGCAGATTCTTGCCCGGGGAAACTACTCGAATCTAGAGTACGTAAATCGCTGTGGTACAAACTGCACCAGTGAGCTTCAACAAAATTATTATAATTCTGCTCCCAATAGCTAAGCATTTTGTGGTCCACTCTATCAGTCAGTAACGGTTTTCGCTGATCCCAAAATATACATAAAAGTAAGAACACTTGGATGAAACCCACCAAAATCATTAGTTCCTTTACGTCACAGGAATTTCTCTACTAAAAAGGTTGCGAGTTTAATTTCCGGCTAAACACGAAGTCAGAAAATCACGGTGGACAATGAAAACATCCCAGCCAACGACAAAGTTTATTATGCAATTGGATAAAAAAAAAAACGATATGCGTGAGGTTCCGGGGAAAGCGAAACGTCATCCTTACTGTCCGTACCTCCTGGCTTATTTGGTCAAATCGTACATTGTGCTTTGTGATTCCTTAGACTTTTCGATCGTTCGACTAGATTGACCGCTTCCGTGTTCTGCACGACTCCGAACTCACAGACCTTTTTAGTGCGCATCAAAGTCTTCCTTTTTTGTTATCCAGTCGGTCGTGGCTACGCAATCTCTAACGGGGGTTGAAATGCAATTTTGCAGGAAATGGTTCAAGTCCACGCTGGTTCTTGTCCCATTGTTCGGGGCGCACTATGCTTTCCTGCTGGGAATGTCCCTGGCTGCCGCCGGGGACCTCGTGGAGTTGATATGGCTCTACGTTGACCAGCTCTTCTCTTCATCTCAGGTGAGCGACGCACTCCCGTTCTTGAAGGAGTGGCCCTCCAAGGTTTTTTTATTCACTGCCGTTGAAGAAATAATATAAAGTACCCACTTTGAGGAGCCGATCACCTATAGGTTAGGATCAGTTGTGTGACTGAGCTTTCGACGATGATGGCGATTGTGTTGCCAACGGCCTGGAAGGTTTGTTTATAAAGAACTGTTATGGTTTTTAATTGCTGAATTTCAACCTAACTGAAGCTATAAAGGCCCGTTCACACTCTTGCGACCGACTTCGACCGAGAGAGACCAGACCGGTTTTTAAGCCTTTTGCGACTTCTTAGGGCCGGATGCGATGCAGCGGAGCTGGTCCTAAGAAGTCGCAAGAGGCTTAAAACCGGTTTGGTCTCTCTCGGTCTAACTCGGTCGCAAGAGTGTGAACGCGCCTTTACTCCGATGTCGCCTTGAAAAGTGTACTCGGTCTAACTCGGTCGCAAGAGTGTGAACGGGCCTTTACTCCGATGTCGCCTTGAAAAGTGTAGCGTACAACTGTCGAAGAGAGTGGCCGGCTCAACTTGCCGAAAGCTGGGCCCGCCACACAACACTATTGGAAACAAAAACGACAATCAAGAACATAATAGCTGCGAATGCTTTAAAAGCAACAAGAAACGGAAAATGAACGGTACAAACCCATGACATGGCGACGCTGACACGACGTCGCGTGCCTGGTAGGATGCTGGGTCATTCTATGCCAAAGGAGACGCTGCAATTGTTTCATGTCTGGGATATGTACAATAAAATAATTTGTACAACAAAGCATTCAAACTCAAAGAAAAAAAAACTTTTCTGAATTTTTTTTTATTTTTATTTTTGCTGTTATTAAGTTCTAAATTTCCGAAATTCGCGTGAAACCCATGTAGTTAAGAACAAAAAAAAACATTGAAAAAATTGGTGGCGTACAACACACGTTTAGGTGGGCGACTAATTACTTAATAATATGCCCCAGACTCAAAACTTTGCAAGACGCCAATTCTAGTCCAAATAAGAGCTCGAAACAAAAAAGAGACTTTACGAGTTTTTTTTGTTTCTGTTATTCAAATTGGATTGGGGTAATAGATGCAATACTTTTTAGTTCTAATAATTAATAATAGAATTCCTCATACTTAATTTTGAAACTCTCGTTTTGTTGCCTTTATTAAAATGACAAAAACTATAATTTAGGCAGAAACACCCATATTGAGAGCCAGAAAAGCAATGTGAGCAGCGGTGCCCGCAACTTTCAAAATACCCGAAAGTTCAACTCACCTCATCTGCTCAACATATATAAAAAAAATTTTAAAAAAATGTTGTTGCTATTTTTGTTTTTTTAGAAAGGAGTCTGTTTTATTTCGCCTCCAGGCGCCGCATCATGAGAGGCGCACGCCGGCGTTCGCCAGCGAGCCGTCAACGTTCTCAGACGCCGACGCAGTCTTCAACGCTCTCCTGAAAAGGCGCTTTATTCAGTTGAAGCGGACATTATCTTTACTTCAATGCATTTGCATCCTTTCTACCTTCCGCAATAATACTGCATAATTTCTGCCCGCGTAATTGAGGACGAACAGGCCTGCAATGTCCGCTTCCAGAGTTTGGAGATGCATACCGCGCGTCGGCTTCGTCTTTCGTATGTTGAGGTATAAAGAAATGCAATCCAGACCAGATAGCTCTTCACCAATGCGAAATCATAGGGGTGATGCCACTTCCCCTACATATTTAAAAGGGCACTAAATAGGATTATACGATCGTCTATTCCTGGTCATAACTGACTTCACGGGCCTTAAGCACCCTAATAATCAAAAAAATTAAAATCGCGCCACGGCGATTTCCCAATTGAAAACATGATGAAAGGTCGGGACACAACCCTTTCTGAGCATATTTTTCCGCTCAGGCACACCCAAGCAGCGGTGTCAGCGCGGGGACGATGGGCGCTCGCCGGCCAATCGCAAGCCGTCTCTAAGGCCACGTGCGATTGGCGGACGAACCCTATCTCACCGCACTGACACCGGTGCTTGAGCAAAAAAAAATACGCTCGGAAAAGGGTGTGTCCCGACTTTTCATCACGTTTTTGATTTAAAAAAATCGGCGTAGCGTAATTTTTTTACTCGACGCCGATTTTTTTTTTTTAGGATCCTTACGGCCGGCAGAATCCGTTATGGCCAACAACAGACAATCGCAGTCTCATGTTTAATGCCCCATTAAATGCATCTTGATAGAAAATGTAGTGCTACCAAAAGCAGTGTATTGATGGAACAAGCATTCTTCTCTTCGGGGCGGAAGCCTCACAGATCCGAGGTTCCGTACGTGTACAGTATTTTAGACTATGCAATACACTGGAGGCCAGCTGAACAGATCTCGAATTGTTAACTCACAAGGATATGTAGAAGTAGTGTGTTTGATGAAGGGTGGGAGCGAGTCGGGTTCCGTCTTCGCCATGTGAGCGGCAGAGTCGACGGACACGAAATGAGGGAATAATTGTCATGGTAAGTCAGTTTATTAAAAAGATTGTTGATTAACTTTTAACTAATGGTTTCATAGCCTATGCTGCAATTGCAGCATTGACGCCAACTATTATTACAGGCTTTAACAATTGACACAATTTGCGAAAAGGTTATAGCGTTTGTATTTTCATCGATCTATTTTCGCGTTTTTACTGCGGACTAGAATATTGCGCGCAAAAATATTGCCGCAAGCCCTGCCCATAATGACAATTAGTATAGTTACGTACTCGTTAGCATGGCGTCGCCACTATCTCGGTAGCGCGTCCTTGGTGGATTCGCCAACGAACTTCAATACATCTTAGTTCTTTCAACCGGCAGTTTAGTTTAATGGGAAAGCTACATCACTGTTACAGTTTTGCTTTGATGAATGGCTACCTCGTGTTAATTAGGTTTCTATCTGGGGAAATGACAGAGGAGGGCGGCGCCCGTACGCGTTCCCTACCTCGGAAAGCAAACGATGCAGGCCTGCGCTCGTCGGCACTTATAACCTGGGGAGAAGTAAAGTAATTGTTAGACGCCAGTATCATTATGTAACGCAAAGAGTATAGGGATGCATGGAAGGGAAGATAATATCCACTTTAACTGTATAAAACGAGTTTTCAGGAGACTGTTGAACACCTTGCGGCGGCGTCTGAAACCGTTGACGCCTCATTGGCGAGCTCCGGCGTGCGTCGCCTACGATGTGGGCACCTGGGGGCATGGTCGGAGAGGCTCATCTTTAAAAAAAAACAGTTTCCCAGAAACAATGACTAGTAATTATCTAACTATTACATAGGTTGAACAGATTAAGTGCACTGAACTGTCGGTTTTTTTTCAAGTTGGGGGCACAGTTGCTTGCAATGATTTTTGTGACTCGCAATAACGCGGTTTTGAATAAACGGGATATATTGTCATTTAAATAAAACGCAAGAAATACCGGCTTAAAAAATTTAACACGTGCAGTTGAATTATTAGTTTTAAAAGAACAAAGGACGACATGTTGTTGCTAACACCCAACACAAAGTTGAATAGAAAAATAAAAACAAACTCCTCATAAAGTCTCTTCTCTTTGGAACTTCCATTTCGACTCAAAATGACGTACTTTAGTGTTCGTAGTTTTGTGTAAAATACAAAATAACATTAAGCAATTAAGCACCGACCTAAATTTGTTTGGTAAGCTACCGTGTTTTCACCATTTTATTTTTGTAACTAGATGAGGTTTGCGCAAACTCCACAAATTTAGGGTATAATGTTCGCAAAAATGAAATTCAGTTTTTCTCCAGACATGAAAATGTTGCCGCGTCTCCTTTGCTATGGAATGATCCTGGAGACTGGAGCGCGGTGTAATATACATACATGGTGTTCCAGCGAAGGTTTTTAAAACTACCTCAAGGTATGGTGGTTGAGAATGTCAGGAATTGAAAACAGACACACTAATTCGTTAAATACACAAATAAATGTACAAGTTACCTTTTTACGATTAAAAATAAACACATGGTTCATATGAGAAACATGCCAAGCATCATCGAAAACCACTGAATGTCCTAAATTTACAAAGATACAAGGCAGGGGCAGCAAAGACACTCAGTTGGCACGTGTTTCTAGAAAACACTAGTCATAACTGTAACATGGGAATCCTGGAGTATTTTCAGTATTGTCAGAATTGAACCAGCTCGGCTGCACCCTTGCTTTTGTCGGAGTTCAGGCGAGAGGCTGTAACTTGAACGTGATGGTAAACCTTAGGCTCCGGTAGAGACGTCGCCTGTTCTTTTCCTCTCTTCCTTCGCGTTTTTCGTTTTGGTACCACAATCTCGGGTTTACCGTCATGTTTTTAGGTTTCGGTTTTCCATCAGAGCGTATCTTTGCGCGTGCGGTCCCGCTCCCAGCGGCCGAGACGGGCAACAAACGTGCGTCATACTTCCCTCTACCCTGTGAGCGAGGCGATGCGGTGGCTTCGCACCTCGGGCACCGTGAAGCATGAGCTCTGGGGCAAAGATTCGCTTGGATAAGAAACCGAAATCCAGAAACGCGTTGAAATGGAGCGTTGCTTCAAAGCGCCGTAAAATGCTGCCTTGCCTTATATGTTTCCGAAGTTAGTTGCTTTATTGCGTTTCGTTATCCACTTTTTAATCAATGAAAAAAAGCATATGGTACAGTATGCCTTTTTTCATTGATTAATCAAATAATATTATTCAATATTATTTGATTAATCAGCTAATTTGTGTTTTTTTTTTTTTTTGAATCCTTAACGTTTGCCATTGCTGGCAGTTTATTCCTGGGTAGCGTTTATTTTTTCCCCAACTGCTCTACTTTTAGGTATTTTGGAAGTCTTCACTAAAATACAGCATGTATACAGTAGCGCTTCGAAACCACTTTAGATGGTCCGAAAAATTCAATTTCTCCTCCTAACGCAGTGAAACTTAACATAGGGTGAGGTAGGGTGGTGGTAATTTACAGTGAAAATATCAACGGATCGACATACCTCGTTCGAAAACGAAAAAAGAAAGACCCCGTT